CATTGTCGAGTGTCCTCAATAATATACTTATCTTTTAACTAATTCTGTTTTTAGAAATCTATCCCTGAGAAAGTAAGTCTTTATAATTGGAAACAATTGAAGTATCCAATTGTGTTTCAACCTAAATATTTCAACTATAAGAAAAAAATTGGCTAGAACCCTACATGTGGTGGGGGCAAACTACAAGAAAATATGCCAAACTGTGGTTTATCTTTATGATGGAATTCTGAGAAATCTTTTTCTGTGGCCCATATATTCTATATGGCACATGTATTAACTTTCCAATCAGAGGAAGATAAAATTTTATTTTAAAACTTTAAAAATATCTGCCCACCTTTCCAAAATACCTTGCATTTCCTTCCTGGTAGAAATGCTTTCAAACAGAATGTATGGGGGAGAAAGAGTCGCAGTGCTATACCGTTAAAATAAAGCACAAAAGAAAAAGCCACAGAGAACAGTCTGTTGATAAAGCAAACATGAGGAAGATAAGAGAAAATGATCTGTTTGCACCAGAACAAAGCATAAACATTGTCATGTTCTAGACTCTGCACATAAGATCAGTCTGTGAAGTCACACCTCCATTTCTTTGTCGCTCCACTCCCTCACCCTCTCTGCTCATAATACTTTGGGAACTGCTGCTCAAAGGCACACAGCAAAGGGTAGGAGAAACCACAGCAAGGCACACATCTCCTTCCAGAACGTTCCATACACCAGGGTGACATGAAACTCTTTGGTCTCCAGAATAAGATATTTGGTGTACATCTAGCAATTGGCTGCTGAATATTGTAGGCTATGAAGAGGCTGTGAAGGGCTACAAGCCCTGAGCCAGAAAATGTCTCAATCAAATGTGCATTCACTGATCCCATCCAGGCAGCCCGAGCAAAGTGTCATCAAATGGAAAACGTGTTGCCCTGGAAGCCATGACTGCTATTTTAATGCTCAATAATGAAGACCAAGCTTTCAATTTCCTGGGGCCTCAATAAGTGTTGATAAATTACTTATCCCTATTGGGTGACATGATTTCATTTCGGTCTGTCAGTGTTCATCATGGAAGCTCATTCTAATGGTATAGTTTGGGGCATTTTTCTATTTTCTCTTCAGGGCACCTGGTAGCATCTTTTCCCCACCTCCAAGTGAAACTGTTGCTATGTCAGTTTAGTCATCTTTGCCCCTGGGTACCATTCTGAAAGATAAATGAATTTTGTTCTGTCTTTAAATATTTATGATTCTTTATGATCTAATATATCATCATGGTTATGGAGGAATTTTTTCTCCATAACTATAGAAAATACACCATCAGTTACCTTGTCAATTTTGTTGAATAACTCGCTTTGCAATTCAGGGGCACTGTTCATCTGAGGCTCTTGAGGACTCTTAGTCTCTCAGTCCACTTCAGACTGTCATTCTGGGATTTATAAAGGTCTTCATTGCACAGAGGATATTGAAACATTAAGGACTTAAGCAGCATGCCCTTTATCACTCATCACACTGGACGAGCCAGGAGTAGAAATGCAGGCATCTTTGTTTTGTTGTTTGCTCCCAGCGTGGAACAACAGCCTCTGTAGAAAAGCAGCCAGTATCCCTGGAAACAATTCATCAGATTTTTCAAAAGAAATCCAATTTCATCTGGCATGATGGGTTCAGTGTTGCTTCTTAAGATAAATGATAAAAATACCAACATCCTAATACAAAGAAATCCAGTTATTTTGGTTTAATCTCAGTGAAAAGCATCACAAACCTTTTATTGCTTCTGTAGCCTTCCCTGATGTGTTTAGGTCCTTGGCTGGAGGAGACAGTAGTTCTGTAACTGTTCGTCTACCAAACAGAGTCTGGCTGAGTCGTGGCTGGTTCAGAACCTTTAAAAAGCATGTATCTGGGGATGGGGCCTCAGGAATCTGCACTTTTCATAAGCACCCCAAGGTAATTCTTAGTTAGGTACCCTGAAGTTCAAGAACTGCTAGTCTTGAAACCACAGCTTTCACGTTCCTTCTAGCTTTAAAAAAATCGTGAGCCCCAGATTCGCTCTCATTTCATTTGGTGAATCTCGATGCATGCATGAGCTCTTCTTGGGCAATTTTTAAAAATGTATACTCTTAGGAAGTTTCATTAATAGATAACTCTCCTTCACCTGTGCATCTACAGGAAACAGAGTTAGATGACATAGGGCATCATTTCTCAAAATAGGGGCCAATATCAGTGAGAGCCAGGGGACATGCAAAGCTGTAGGATAAATATTAATATGATGCATCTTCCTGCAGCATCAAGTTTTTCTTAGAAACTGTATTTAAATTACTGCAGATACATTGAGGAGTAGAATGCAAAGTTCATGTGAGTTTTATGCTAAACGTGAAACTTCAAAAGATTTACTGATTGTAGCTGATACTGGGGTCTCACACCTCTGGAAGTGGAGTTTTTTCTCCTCTTCTACCAAGCATTTCTGTCTATATTCAGGGTCGCCCTCGACCAGTGATTGCTATATATCTGGTTCTGTGATGCCAAAATGAACATCGTTTGAAACCACTGTAGAAAATTAGCCCCCTGTGCCGGGTACGGTGGCTCACGCCTGTAATCCCAGCACTTTGGGAGGCCAAGGCGGGCGGATCACGAGGTCAGGAGATCGAGACCATCCTGGCTAACACAGTGAAACCCCGTCTCTACTAAAAATACAAAAAAATTAGTCAGGCGTGTTGGTGGGCGCCTGTAGTCCTAGCTACTCAGGAGGCTGAGGCAGGAGAATGGTGTGAACCCGGGAGGCAGAGCTTGGAGTGAGCCGAGATTGTGCCACTGCACTCCAGCCTGGGCAACAGAGCGAGACTACATCTCAAAAAAAAAAAAGAAAAATTAGCCCACTGTACACAAGGATGCTGACCGATTTGCTCCCAGGAGATCCTCATTAACTTACCAATCTACAAAGAGCCCTTTGAATTTCTGCCACTATGTGGAGAATAGTCACAAAAGATTATTCTTTCCCCTATTTTTTAAAAGAGTGTGTTAGTTAGAAAAGGAGGCTTAGCAGGAGGAAAAGAAGCTAACCGTGTGAAAAGACACTGCAGCTCTTCCTGACCACATTCCCCTTGGACTAGCAATTCAGTAAAACAGGCCTGAAATTATGGAGCTCCTAGAATGTATTTCTTACCACAAGGATAGCTTCATTTCCCCGTAGGAGTCTCTTTTTCTTCAAAATGTTCGTGATGAGAAAGAAACAAATTCACGGCCCTGAGTCTAATAATACAGGATTTCTGAGCCACTGATCCTGTTTGGTCTGGAAGATTCTTTCACCCCCAAGAGTTGCCTTGAGCACACTGCCTCATTCTGTCCCCTCAATCTTGGCAAAGTTACCCTTCACGTCAGAGAGAAGTGAGTAACACTCTTCATTTCGCTGACAAGCTGTGATAAGCCTTGCTGGCTCAGAGTCTGTGTTGAACTTGACCTCCTGGGTAATTTGGAGTGGCTGTGCAAGTCACAGCCTCAGAGTCCAGTAGACTCTGAGAGAGAGCAGTGGCATGGTATTGGTTTAAAGAATGGTGAGTGGTTGTCTTCTCCACTTCCTGACTCCCACCTTCATCTTCTCGCTGCATTGAAGAATCACTCTATTGCGTATTTCTGTTACAGGCACAAGTCTTTCTCCACCACCCAGGCCAATGGCCTTGCCGTTAAGTGGCTGTCAAGTCTCCTCTTTCTGCTAGAATTGTAACCAATGCCCTCCCAGACCATTCTGCATCCCGTTGTCACATTAGTCTTCCAGAAGCACAACTTTGAATGGCACCTCTGATCTCTGGAAAAAGGAAGTCCTTTATTGGCTTAACTAGGTCTAAAGTCATAGCCTGATGTTCAGAGGCTTCAACTGCCTTATCCCAGGACTTTCTGCTCTTGCTCTGCACTCCCCAGTCTAACCAGATTACTCATCCATGTCTTTTCTCATGCTCTTCCCTCCAACTAGAATTTCCTTTATGGAAGCCCTGCCTGACAGAATCTTACCCATAGGACGTCTTCCTCAGTCCCATACCATCCTTTCAGCATGGTGCAATTTCTCCTCTTCTGCTATTAATTCACGGTACTAGGACCTCACTTACGGCACATAGAATATTCTTGGGAGTTGTCAAATGTCCATGAAAAAACATTCTTGAACTTAGAGTCAGAAAACCTGGATTCAGATCCTGGCATAGTCAGCCCCTGTCTTTGTGCCATGGGCAAGCCCTCTAACTTCTCCATGCTCTGGTCTTTGTGTCTGGGAAAAGGCAGGCATAGCCCCTGGGTGGAGTGAGGGGTAAGTGGCACAGTGCATGGGAATGAATTTGGTCAACAGCACTGAAATCCTTCTGTCTCTGCTTTCCAGGACCTTTCCTCCTTGTCTCTGAGCTACTTGAGGAAAGGGGCTGTGTCTTGCCCATCCTTATGTACTACTATTAATTTTATCACATTACTATCACACATTAGCATCATTATAGTTCTAATACTAATAGTTAATCTTTGTGAAGCACCACCACTCTGAGTGCTTTGTATGTATTAATTAACTCAACTATTTCAATAACCCCAAGAGGTAGGTACTATTATTAACCCACTTTATGGAGCAGAAAACCATGTTCAGTATTTCACAAAACCTCCAGTGAATAATGAATGAATGAGGGATTGAATGAGACAAAAACCTGTTAACAATGCCTTCTCTCCTTCTTCAGGCTATGCCCCTACTTTTCTTTCCTCTCTCCCACGGTAAATGCAAAATTAGCAAACAATGTAGAATGAACTGAGCCACTGAAAGGTATGCAGCCTCCCTGGGTCCTCACTTAGACTTCTTCTGAAGAGAGCTCCTGTGAGCTCCAAAGGACAGAGCTTGTGGCTGTCATGTTCTTTATTCTATTGGTGGGGCCTAGAACACTGCCTGCTGATCAATTTTTATGAAGTAAGTAGAGGAATCAATGTATAGACAGCATATTTGTCCCCTCGAGACAGATGTTTCCAATGGTGGAGCTGGTGAGCAGTGTTCTCTCTTGCTTTCTCAGGCAGTACTACGAGATGCTTTACAACACAGCTGACGAGCTCCTGAACCTGGTGGTGGACCAGGGTGTGAAGTACACGGAGCTGGAGTACATCCATGCCCTGACCCTGCTGCACCGCAGCCAGACAGGGGTGGGGGAACTGACCACCCAGAACATGAGGCTGCAGCGGCTCAAAGAGATCATCTGCGAGCAGGCTGCCATCAAGCAAGCCACCAAGGACAAGAAGATAACTACCGTTTAGCAGAGCCTACTTCGGTTGGTAGCTGGGGTCCCCTCAGTCACACTCACTTTTTCCCTTGGTATGTTATTGGTATATTCTGAGCTTAGTTTTCTCTACACTGTTGCTTTAGTGGAGAGGAGGTATAAGGATTTTTTCTCTCTAGTTTGACTTTTCATATAAATGCTAAAGGAAGGCAACAGTACTGACTGTTTTGGTTGAACAACTACTTTAATGCAGTCAAGTCTAACGGGACTAGGGTGGGATAGGGAGGAAGGTGGTATCAAATTGCTGGACTCTGAAAAACGAGTGGATGGATTACTAATATTTCATTTATTACTCTCTCTCTATATATATATATATAAAATTCCAGCCTTGGAAAGTAGACTGCTACCTAAGTTTTGGTCCCTTCCTAAAACCATTGAGTAGGGTTCTATTACATAAACAGTAGGATTTTTTCCTCTCCTGACCTTATCCATTTACAGTTCAATGAAATAAGTGTCTGTGCATTGCTGTCTGTCTCTATTGGCAAAGTCAAATAAATGGCTTCTCAGCTGCTGTTTACAACAAACTTCCCTAACAAAACAGAACCTCTAATTTAGGGCTGGGAATCGAAGTCTTTTGGTTCCAGTCCCTGGGACAGTTTTGTATGCTATATCTTGTACACAGGTTGTAGGTTGGTTTATTGCCATTTTGTTTTATTTCTGCTATATAAAAACCAAGAGCCATACAATTAGACAAATATGGAGGAATGAAAGGCAATTCAACCATCTGCTTGATTTCCAACCCCCGCCCCCGCCCGCCGCCCTAATTTTGGAGAGAATAATGGTTAGAGAACATTTCATCTCACTTGAAACATCCTTTGGGAGTAAATTATTCTTAGGTGCTCACTTGGTCTGAGCTCAGCTGAATGCAGGGAAGATGGGACAGAGTAACATTTCTCCTCTGTGTGGCCTCCAGCTGGGCCTGTCCCTGGATTGTCCTCTCCCCCGCATTGTGGGCATTTACCGTGTTCCTGGCACACTGGACCTCACCATGTCCCCAGTCCTCTTGCTGGACATGGTTCATAGGTCACAGAAGGCAGCAAAGCACTGACTGGGCCACATCTTGAAAACTCGTGGAAAGAGGAGGAGGAGGGACTTTGACCACACACAGTGATGCCTCACACCCTGAAGGTGGGGGATTTTATACCTGTTTGTACAACTTTGGTCTTGATGGGAAATGGAATATTAAAAAGTGTTTTGAGAAGCTTAAATGTTTCATGTTATTTTTCTTGTATTCTTTATTCAGCAAATATTCCCCAGAAGCATAATATGTGCTCCATGCTGCCACACACAGGAGCAAATGGATACATGAAGAGGACACCCTTATTATCTAAGAGTGTGGAAACTGGACTGGAGTCAAAAATCCCAACAGCTCAAACTCAGGGCTGGGTCAGAATCAGGTCAGGCAGTGGGGCTGCCGTGAAGGGGATTCACTGGCCAACTGGAGGTTCCAGGGGATTCTGGTGGGAAGGAATGTAGTCAATCTGGCTCCAAGGGCCTAACTGGGAAGAAGAATCTCTGTAGGAGACAACTGTGGGAAAACATACTGCCCTAAACAATATCATGAGAAATAGTCTACCCTAGAAGCAGTAGTGGGAGAAGGGGGATGAGAGGAGATTAGGGTTGCCTAAGCTGCTTCTTCATGGCCACGACCCCCAGCATTGATTCTGTACCTTTTCTTTTTCTTCCTGTCCACTCCAGGTGGAGAACCCCGAGTGGTGACAGTGATGGCAGCAGAGCCAGGGTGGGACTGAGAGTGCTCAGACTAGTTTTTTTGGGGTGTGGAAAGAGACATGGGTTTGGATTGAGCAGAATGTCAAGAGCCCTGAGAACCAACCTAAAAATGACAGATGAGCTGCTTCAGGGGCAACATTTAGGAAAGTGAAATCCCTGCTTTGCTTACAATGACGGGACTGAACATGGTAATTCTGCACAGAAAAGGAGCTCTAGGACTCTTCCGAGACATTTAGGACATCCAAGTTTCTTTGAAGGTTGGCACATCAGTCTTTATTCTTCCACAGGTAAAGAACAGCCGGTGACACACTCAGTGGATAGTCAACGGCTACCTCAGAACCTACATGCCTTTGAAACACAGTGAATATTTCCACATTTTGATCCTACTTAGGGGTATTTTGTGAGACTGTTGTGCTGTTTACAGCCTTGACCAACCAGAAAGAGCTAGAGAGAGCCAGGGTCTGCCAAGGACAGGGCCCACCAAACACATACAGAGTTACATAATGTTCTTGCATGAAGACCTCTCCCTAAGTGTGCTATTGCAGATAACAAGGCCAACAAAGACTGGGTGCAGGACTCACGCCTATAATCCCAACACTTTGGGAGGCCAAGGCGGGCGGATCAGGAGGTCAGGAGTTCTAGACCAGCCTGGCCAACATAGTGAAATCCCACCTCTACTAAAAATACAAAAATTAGCTGGGTGTGGTGGTGCGCACCTGTAATCCCAGCTACTCAGTAGGCTGAGGCAGGAGAATCACTTGAACCCGGGAGGTGGAAGTTGCAGTGAGCCAAGATTGCCCCACTGCACTCCAGCCTAGGCGACAGAGCAAGACTGCGTCTCAACAAAAAAGCCAATGAAATAGGCCTTACCAGAAGGGGTGCTGGAAACAAAGCAAACCATTTTCTCATTCTTATACAGAGGTACAAACGGGAGGGACATGTGGACTGCTGCCCGCATCACTAGTCACTGCACCGTGGAGAAGGCCCACAGGAGTAGGAGGGATCCTGAGATGGGAAATCAACATGACCATGAAGAAGGAAGGCTTTGGAGTGATGTCATCTGACTTGGTTATCAGTACAGCAGCTCCCAGAGAGCACTTCCTTCTGCTAACACTGTTATCTACTCTCTGGTACTTAGCATGTCTTCCCATTTTGTCCTCACAGCAACCCATGTCATAAATATTACTTTCCTTTCTTCCATACCCAAGGGCCCCGAAACTACTGAAAGAATCTCTTCCAAGTTAGCCATCCTTGGAATAAATTCCTTGAAAAAGAAGTACTAGTTCATCAACTGGGATCCAACTATTTTATATATATATACATATGTATGCACACGCACAGGCAAATTGTGTTCTCAGACGTGCAGGTAGTGGTTTCTTCTACATTTTGTGGTTACTTTTAGCTATCATATTATTGCCTGTCAGTATACCTTTTAATTTATAAATGAAACTACTCTTTGGATGATATTGTGCCCCTTACCCCACAGGCACTTCTTTCTACCTGCTCTATTAATACAGTTTCTTTCAGGGTCTTATCCTAGGACAGTGTTTTTATTCCCGCCTCACAGTAGGGTTTTGTTATCTTACTGCCCAACTAGAACGTTTTCCCCTCCACACTGATTTCATCCCAATGATTAGACAAGGATTGGTTCCTCAGGTTGCCCTTGCTGTAAGAGGACAAGCCCTGCTTCCACGCTCTGAAAGACAAGTTTATTTTTTAGTATGTCCAGATCAGCTCAAGTTTCGTGGTAAAACCAGGCCTGAGCCATTACAGCCCTTACTCTTGAAACAGCCAGTGACACCGCACTGGAAAAAGCGGAGGCTTTTCATGAGCTTTCATGCTTGTTTCTGACCTACTTGAAGAAAGGGGCTGATATGGTTTGGCTGTGTCCCCACCCATATCTCATCTTGAATTGTAGCTCCCATAATCCCCACGTGTCATGGGAGGGACCTGGTAGGAGATTAATGAATCTTGGGGGTGAGTTTTTCCAGTGCTGTTCATGTGATAGTGAATTAGTCTCACGGGATCCGATGGTTTTTTAAAAGGCAGTTCTCCCACACACTTCTTGCCTGCCGCCACGTAAGATGTGATTTTGCTCCTCCTTCACCTTTCGCCATGATTGTGAGGCCTCCCCAGCCATGTGGAAGTGTGAGTCCATTAAACCTCTTTTTCATTATAAATTACCCAGTCTCAGGTATTTCTTCATAGCAGTATGAAAATGGACTAACATAGGGGTTGTGTCTTGCCCATCCTTAGGTACTATTACTTCTACTACATTACTACTAATCTGGTAGGACCCTCTTCTGGCAATTACTGCCCTCTGCAGAGTAACCCCATTCCAAGAAGCCCCAGCCTCTCTCCAAGACTTTATTCTTGCCTGAATGTTTTCTGAGCCTGACAGTCCTTATTTATGTTTCAAATAGCTTGGGAGGAAAAACTCCAATACAGACAAGTTGAATTGGCAACCAAACCCTGATGCTACTTACTGTCAAGTCATATCCATGAATTTCATAGCATTAATGCTTGCATTCAGTCAGTCAAATAGATAGAATTGCCTGTTACAGCTCAGGTTGATACGGGAGTCAAGCAATGGCAGGCAAAAGAGACAGCCCCTTGTGACACAAAGCTTATACTTCCACTGGCTTCTTACAACTCCTCCCTGATACACCCTTCCCAGAGTCCTTATTTCCCACCTCGATTCTCTGAGACCACCCTTTCATTTCGGAAGACAACTCGAATCTTCAGCCTGACTCTGTGCACTCTCTTCTGAGCTTTCCTTCTCTGGAAGCTTAAGACGCTCACGATCTACTGTGCCCCACTGGCTAGCACACCTAGCAGTTCACCCTTTACCATTTTTTCTTCCTCTCCTCGTTCCTCCTCCCTCCTCCTCGTCTCCTCCTTCTCCTCTTCCTTCTCCTTCTTTCTTCTTTCTTCCTTCTTCTTCTTTGAGACAGGGTCTCACTCTTTTGCCCAGGCTGGAGTGCAGTGGCACCATCTCAGCTCACTGCAACCTCTGCCTCCTGGGTTCAAGCAATGCTCATGCCTCAGCCTCTCGAGTAGCTGGAACTACAGACCACGCCCAGATAATTTTTGTATTTTTAGTACAGATGGGGTTTTACCATGTTGTCCAGGCTGGTCTCAAACCCCTGGAGCTCAGCCTCCCAAAGTGCTGGGACTGCAGGCGTGAGCCACCACACCTGGCCGCTTTACCATTTCTTGATGGAACTAATGGATCCCCACCCCCACAGCCTTTATGAACGGACCGAGGTCATTGAATTCAGGATTCTTGCTCTGGTGTGTAGCTGTGGCTGCCTCCCTAGGACCAGGGCACAGAAATTTCACAGTAACCATGAAGGAGACAAGAGGTCAGCTCCAAGCCAGAGTAATTTCATTCAGGGCAGATGTGATCAGAAGACCAGCCAAGGGGCTGTCCCTCTAGCAGGATGTGAAAATAAGGAGAGTCCTGGTCAACACAATTTTGCTTTCCAAAGCAAAGTGAATGCTGAAATACACACACCTGGGAGTGATTGTCTTAATGTGGCAGGAATGTAAAACAAATTGGACATAATTTGGAGGGAGTGTAATGAGGTACCAAAAACAAGAAAACATAAAGAATCGCTAGGCTCGGCAAGGTGTCAACCCTGTCCTAATTAGGCACAGTTGTTATAAGAAGTACATAATTAATAAGCATGTGACCAGATGTGGAATACAGCAGAGGTTTTTCCTGAAATGGAGGGGGGGCGGGGTGGGTAATGAACTGTGCGCAGCTGGAAGTAGTTGTCCTAATTTGGCGGAGGCAGAAGGCCTGCCTGGAATTTTGAAGAGGTGTAGTAAGATGCACACCACAGGTTTACACCTGAAAACAACTAATCCTATTCCAACTGGGCTGGGGTGTAATGAGATAGAGCTAATTATCAAGAGTGTAATGAGATGCAAAAGCCATTGGAACTGAGCTGGAAATTTCTTTAAAAGTGAACTAAGACACAAACACCAGGAGAGAATTTCTGCCAATGGAGGTAGGTGTGAGTGTGATGAAACTACACGATGTGGGGAGGGGCCGTTTTCATATGTCTGGGCCAAAGACGCGTCTGTAATTAAAAATATTGCCAGGACATTCACACACCTGGAGCAAGAGTCCCCGGGAACCGAAGAACACAATAACTTGTAAAAGCCACATGCATACTATTAAGATGTATGTGACCGCTTATGTGTGTGCAAATAACCCAAAAAAAAAAAAAAGGAGGTTCGGTGTTTTCAGGTGAGTGCTTGATCCCCTTTAGAAAAATGACCTCAGATTCCTGCTGACTTTGCAATAGATACTCGCAGGAACCTGATTCCAAACAGAAAACCCGGCAATCTCCTCATCCCAAACTGATTTAATTATCACCAGCTCAAGTTTGCTTTCACACAAGGATTTATGTACTGTGTGTGAGAGATCAGGAAACCATTAGTAGCTGGTTTTTGTGGTTGTTTTTATTTTATGATTGCTGCTATGTTATTCTAGACACATTTATGGAACCCTTCATGTGTATCAGGTTCTGTGCTAAATGCTTTACCACATTATTTCATTTAATCCTCACAATAATCTGACAAGATGTATACTATTATCATCCCCACTTTACAGAGGAAACTAAGGCTCAGGTTAAGGGCTTTGCACCAGATCTGGTAAGTGTGCCAGTTCTGCCCAACACCAGAGTTCATGCTTGGAACCATAACCAAATCCAAAGCTCATACCACTTGTCTCACAACAGCCAATAAGACAAGACATACTCAACTATTTTTTCCAAATAAAGGAAAGTGACTTTATTTCAGGAAGCTGGCAAACCAAGATGGCGGACTGGTGTCCTAAAGAACCATCTTGAAAGGTATGAATCCCAAGCTGCTTTTTATATTGGGTAAAGGGAACAAGGAGGGGGTTACGGTCAGGAGGTGACAGGTGACCACAGACATCTGGGTGTCAGCAAGAGTCTGAGGGAGTTTCATATCCTTGGTCAGGTCACAGCGCTCCTATAGGTCTTTAGCATAACATTGTTACTTGGTTGTATGCCCTCCTTATCTCCTTGGGGGTTACTTTGGGGAAGGCCCTGTTATCATCCTTGCTTTGAAGTTAAGCTACACACTAAATTCCTCCCATAGTTAGTTGGGGCTACACACAGGAATGAGCAAAGGCAGTTTGCTTGGGGGTTAGAAGCAAGATGGAGTCAACTACGCTAAATTTCTCTCACTGCTACGGAAACCCCCTCTGCTCTTATTTTGAGCCAAACCCCCTTGTCCAGTGTGGCAAAGGCAGGGACTCTCACATGCTATACTTGAGCCCCAAGTGACACTGTTTGGTAGTCTGACTCATCCATTCACTCTGTCCTCTCCTGTAACCTCCAGCAGGAACCATTCATTTCTGGACCACATTTGGGGCCACCATTGCCCACTCTCCTCTCTGCTTCTCTTCCACCCCCAGCTGCCCAAGCCCATCCCTGTAGCCAGTACCTTGACAGAAATCTTGGAAGCACAAACCTTTGGTTCGGGGACTGACCCCAGCCAGTTGGAGACTGGAGATAACCCCAAGAGGCTGAGGCTAAATGCTCAGGTTCTAGAATCTGGTGTATCTTGGTTCAACATATTGCCTTAGCCTTTGTAGGGAAGGCAACTTATCTGTTCCTTCTATCCATCTTAGGTTCATTGACTGGAACCTCTGTAACAAAAGACAGGTTAAGAAGAAGAAAGCGGCCGGGCGCGGTGGCTCAAGCCTGTAATCCCAGCACTTTGGGAGGCCGAGACGGGCGGATCACAAGGTCAGGAGATCGAGACCATCCTGGCTAACATGGTGAAACCCCGTCTCTACTAAAAATACAAAAAACTAGCCGGGCGAGGTGGCGGGCGCCTGTAGTCCCAGCTACTCCGGAGGCTGAGGCAGGAGAATGGCGTGAACCCGGGAGGCGGAGCTTGCAGTGAGCTGAGACCCGGCCACTGCACTCCAGCCTGGGCGACAGAGCGAGACTCTGTCTCAAAAAAAAAAAAAAAAAAAAAAAGAAAGCATGCTAATTTAATATAACTTATACATGGAAAAAAAAAAGACCCAAAGAAGTAGTTAAACCTGGGTGGGGTTTTGTTGTTGTTTACGGTGGTGGTGGTGGTATTTTAGAGGCAGGGTCTTGCTGTATCGCCCAGTCTGGTCTCTCACAGGAAGGTCTTAGGCCTGCTTCAGGGGAAGGTCAGAAAAGTCTTCCTAGGTTTTATGACCTGCTTCAGAGGGGAAAGAAGTGGGATGGCAGGGGGAGGTCAGAGAAACCTTCCTGTACATGCTGTTTTTTTGATGTGGTTACACGTGCTTAAAAATGCCCTCAGTTGCCTCATCTTTGAAATGGGATAACAGTGGTACTAATAGCTCCTGTCCAACAAAGGCGTTCAGGGCCTGGCATGTCATAAATATTATATATACATAACAAATAATATTATCTTGTCTGTTTATTTGAGGAGTTTCAGACACACTGTCAAGAAAGCCTGCTGTGTTGAAGTGTAGTAAGAGTGCAACCCCGCTTCCCACGCTTCTTGGTTAGAAAAGCCCAGGCTAGGCTGGGCATGGTGGCTCATGCCTGTAATCCCAGAACTTTGGGAGGCCGAGGCGAGTGGATCACTTGAGGTCAGGAGTTCGAGACCAGCCTGGCCAACATGGTGAAACCCTGTCTCTACTAAAAATACAAAAAGTTAGCCAGGCATAGTGGTGGGTGCCTGTAATCCCAGCTATTCAGGAGGCTGAGACAGGAGAATCGCTTGAACCTGGGAGACGGAGGTTGCAATGAGCCAAGATCGTGCCATTGCACTCCAGCCTGGGTGACAGAGTGAGACTTAGTCTCAAAAAAAAAAAAAAAAAACCAACAAAACAAACAAAAACAAAGGAAGGCCCAGGCTATGTGGCAGGGTGGACCCAAGACTGTTACTTGCTGTATGTGGACACCTGAAGGCCCCCGGAACCGGATGTCCTCATCATAGGAACTAGATGTTCTGATCTTACACAATTGTTTCAGCCCCCTCCCCACACAGGCCGACTGCCCTCAGTGTCTGGCTCCTTAAGCCTGCTTCCATTGTAGCTATTAGCGAGGGTTTTGCCTCTCATTGCCTGCCAGCGTATTATGAGCATCTCATTAACTCAAGGCTCCAGTACCCTTTAGGGACCAGACCTTCACAGACGTAATGGCCTTCTGCCTGGGGTTTGAGTTTGCTGTTACTCTTTCTACCTCTGCTGAGGAATGTCAGCCCCTGGATTTCTAATAAGTTCACAAATTGCTCTATGAAATTGAGGTGAGAAAAATGTCACATTCTTTTTTTTTTTTAATTTTTAAAAATCAAATCTGGCTCTGAGCCCCCGCTTACCATTCTCAGCAGAAGTCCGACTCCAGTCATTGTGAATTCCTCACGGGCCGCGGATGGGGGTTTTGGGGAGAGGCCTCCCCTTCATCGGGTTGCACCAACACCCTGCTGCTGAAGCAGGTCAGGAGAGCGGGGTGAGCACTACATCATCAGGGCATCCTGATCACTCTGTCCCCGTGCTCCTTCTGCGACACAGCGAAGGCTCTAAACACTGTCTGGTGCTGTCCTCAGGCCCTGTGCTCCACACGCAGAGTCCTTTCCAGTGTGACCAGGCTTTGTTCCGGGGACCTCCAAGCCTCAGTGTCCATCCACCACAGGCATCCCTCACAGCTGCCCGACACGAGGGCCTGCCTGCGTGGGCACTGTGAGCTAGATGCCGTGGAGCTCCTGTGCACGCTACAGCCCTTGTCTCTTCCCAGCTTTGGGGGATCCAACACCAGGTTGGGCAGTTCTCTCCTCTTTCCTCCCAACGCCAAAGCCTCTTTTCCTTTCTGCCACTGGGAGAGCAAAGCCTCCTTCCCTGGATCTATACCTTTCAAAACAATAGGCTGCTGGAGGGAGTATCTGAGTGAAGATAAGTTTTCTCTCTCCCCTCCCCTCTCTTATTCTCCCCCTTTTTTTTTCTTCTGCCCTGAAACAAGAAGTTTGTTAACCAGACCTCTGAGGATAAAAGAGAGCCTGGACTCAAGAGCAATCCCCAAGTAACCCTACAGGGTGGCAGTGGGAATCTTTTATCCTAATTTGGGATGGGGGGTTGGCATCAATTACTTTCACAATAACTTACCCTGTTTGGATTCAGAGAACTGGATATAACTTGAGAGAGCTTCCATCCCAACCATCTCATTTTTCAAAGGAGCCAGAGGAGCAAAGGGAGCAGGCCCAAGAGAAGAGAGTGGGGATGCCTAGTTCATGTCTGAGCCAGGACCAGCATCCAGGTCTCGACTACCATTCCCAGGGTCCTGCATTTGGGAGCCCCCATGTGAATCACGCTGTTAGACTGCCAAGTAGAGGGATAGAAGGGAAGGTCCTGCCTTAAGAGACATGACTGTTGCATGGAAAGAACAGGGCAACACACATGAATCCACTATGGAGTATCGTAAGCCAGGGTACCACTGAAATCTCACTGAGTGGTTTCTGAGGAACTCAGAAAAATGAATAATGATTGTAGACTATCGTTAGTCAAATACAACTTAATTGGGAAAATGGAACTGGACCATGGTCTTGAGAAACAAGTGGAGCTACAGAATCAATGTGAGGGCTGAGATGAAGGTATGCATTTTGTCAACCTCCACAGGCAGTCAGCAGATACATGGGATCTTTGAACCCTCTAGAATTACATGCATACAGCATGGGTGATTGGAGGTGATGGTGTATAAGTGCATTATATGAAATCAGGTCTGAGGTTTTCATTAGGTTCTCAATATATCTTGCTCTTCCTCTTCCAGGAGTATAGTAGGATTGCATTTCTGAGCCTGTATTGGTCCATTTTCACACTGCTGATAAAGACATACCCAAGACTGAGTAGTTTATAAGGAAAAAGAGGTTTAATGGACTCACAGTTCCACGTGGCTGGGGAGGCCTCACAATCATGGTGGAAGGCAGAAGGCATGTCTTAGATGGCAGCAGGTAAGACAGAATGAGAGCCAAGTGAAAGGGAAAACCCCTTAGAAAACCATCAGATCTCATGAGACTTATTCACTACCGCAGAGCATTGTGGGGGAAACTGCCCCCATGATTCAGTCATCTCCTACTGGGTCCTTCCCACCACATGTGGGAATTATGGGGGCTACAATTCAAGATGAGATTTGGGTGGGGACACAGCCAAACCATATCAAGGCCCTTCTGTGTTTGGGTGGTACCATGTGATTATTTGGCCAATAAGTTATGAGTAGAAGGGTGTCACTTCCCAACCAAAGCCATTTAATTACCTGTGTGAAACCCTCCAGAGCTCAGTGCCCCCTCTGTCACAATGACCAGCAATGTTCCAGATAGTGACCACTCACTCAGCTAGGGTTCCAGAGGGAGGAAGATGCAGACCAGAGCCCCAGCTGACCTGCAGTGGACACATGAGGTAAGTAAGAAATACATCTTTGTTGTTTAAAGCCATTGACATTTTGAGATTGTTTGTTATTGCAGCATAACCATTCCTATCCTGACTGATACACACAACAAAGAGGCTGATCATGGTGAGGAGAGCAGAAAGAGCAAGAGAATTTTAATGAGGGATGAAATTTTGACTTTAAAGAGAACTAGTTGAGTGGAGGATTGAGAATAAGAGCCAAATTTAGAGGCTGAAGGGGGAGAAAAGATATTGCTTTCCCAATAAGTCCTCAGTCGGTATATGTCTGTCCTAAAGATAGAAGCAACAAGTATGTGTTGTTCACTCAAGGAGTGTATTAGCCAGGGTTTTCCGGAGAAATAGAACCAATAGGATATATATATGTATCTTTAAGATATATATATCCAACATATAAACAAAAATATATAAATATATGTCTAACATATAAACAGAAAAAACTATTGTCTATAATTTTATATATATACATATATGTATATCTCAAACAATAAATGAAGAACAACAGATAATTCTTTTTTGTTCTTACCTTGTTAGAACTCAGCAGATACATGGAATCTTTGCACCCCTAGAATTACATATACAGATGATCCATGACTTACAATGTTTTGATGTAAAATTTTTTGGCTTTACAATGGTTCAAAAGCAATACTCATTCAGTAACACTCCTTCACTTACATCCTGTTAAACACATCGTAAGTTGAAGACCTGCATATATGTGTGTGTGTGTATAGAAGAGAGAGCAGAGCAAGACAGAGAGAGAGAGACGAGGAGACAGAATTATTATGGGAGTTGGCTTACATGATTATGGAGACTGAAAAGTTCCATAATCTGCCATCTGCAAGCTGAAGAATCAGGAAAGCTGGTGGTGTAATTCAGGCCAGGTCTGGAGGCCTGAAAACTAGTAGAGCCAGTGGTGTAACTCTCAGTTGGGGAGTTGAAAGTGGGGGACTGGTCTAAGTCTCAGAGTACAAAGGCTCAAGAACCAAGAGCTACAATGTTTACAGGCAGAAGAATATGGATGTCCCAACTCAAAGAAAGAGGGAAAGACTTGTCCCTGCTCCACCTTTTTATTCTAACAGGGCCTTCAACAAGTTGGATGATGCTTACCCACATTGGTAAGGACAGATCTTTACACAGCCTGCTGCTTCAAATGCTAAGCCCTTCCAGAAACACCCTCACAGACAGACCCAGAAATAATTTATTACCAGTGATCTGGGCATCCCTTAGCTCAGTCAAGTTGACATAAAAAACTAACCCTTGTTGCAGGATTCAGGAGGACAAGAGAGACCTCGGGTTGAAACAGGAGAATCTTTATTGAGTGCACTCAGGCCCAGCTGACTCATCTCCAAAAAACTGGACTTGGAACAGAGACTGCACTTGACTTTTATACACACTTCACAAAAGGGGGTGGGCTAGCTTGAAGCAAGCTCACAGCGTCATGAAAGCAGGGATACAGATGCAGGACAAAGACAGGATTGCACATGACTGTTGCCAAGCAACCTAGATATCCATTCCCTAGGTTTGTCTGGGAACGGACTTATCCTATAACCTTCATTCTGGTGCCCAGGCAGCTGTAGTTCAGGCCTACTCAGGCTTCTCATGACCTTCGTTGTACTTCTTAGGTAAAACAGAATTCTTTAAGTCACTCGTTACAGAGAACAGGAATCTATAAACTCATTCCATAAAGCAAAGGAAAATTTGTTTTTCTTCTCCTTATGTTGAAGGAGTGCTGGGAGAGTCTCCAGAGCACATTACATAATATTACCAAGACTTTTCCTGGGTCTGGGCTGTGCCTGTTGCTGCCTCTGGGGTAAGTCAGACTAATACAGGAAAACTTATTTCTCTTTCTTTTTAATTTATTTTTCTTTAATTTCCTGCCTCAACCATCACAACAAGCAACCCTGGATCCCCCTAGTTTATTTGTGTCTTTTGCTTTATCCACCTTTTTCCTTTATTTGAACTCCTATAGTATTAGTGAGCTCAAATACATAGGTCTTAATTCAGTGTCTCTGAGTATTCATAGGAAAGCCTCTATGTAAATCCAACAAACAGAATAAAACTATAATAGTTAACTATGTATAATATTATAATATTATAGATAGATATAAATCTGCTATCCATAATAATTAGCTGTTATCGAAGCTTAAAACCCCCTACAAGATGCCACACATCCCTGCTCCAAAATCCTGATGTCTAATTATCTCACTGGACCAGTCCCTTTTTCCTTAGGAACTTTCTATTTCAGTATCATTTATTACCCATCCTCAGCAGTAAGTGTTTACCTTCTAACAATAAAGGCCCAATCACCAAAACATGAAAAAGATTCAGGAAAAGAATATATTTTTCTACCCTCCTCCCCAACAGCTTAGAGTTCCTTGTATTTCTCTGATATCCCAATGGATGTAAATGCTAATGGTTTTGAATGAGATTTGAAGTTGCAATCTTAAAATGAGGAAACATAACACTTAAATGCTGTTAGCTCGCTTTAAGAGACTAATAAAGCACAAGGTACTAGCCTCTTGGCAGTTAAAGAGCAATTCATCATCTATGATAACAGCAAACATTAAAGTGTTTTCATAGGGGATATAGAAATTCTTGCATCTTGCAGTTGTATTAACCGTCATCGTTTTCTTGTATTTTCATTTCCATATTTCCTGGATGCCCCTGAGGTGCTTACACACTGTTCCAGACCCTACAGAGTTCAGAAGGGAAGTAAGAGTAGTTACACCATTCGCCCCACATCCCACCCTCCATCGAGGACTGATCTAGGGCAATTTGACATTCCTGCTGTCCAAATTCCTGCAGTAAACATCAGTAGCCTTCTGCCATAAGCAGAGATGGAAGCAATGTGGCTCCTCCTCACAACTTGGCTAGCAGGTAGTATGCTACAAAATAAGCAGTCCACAGACAACATTCATTAGCAAGCGAGCACAAACATCGTCTTCCAGCCTGCTCAGGAAGCACTCTCTGTCCCTATTCTCTGTCCAGCACCTTATTGGAAAGTTTCCTCTGAGGCAAGCACAACGATGTTCTGTCAGCAGGATCAGACCCACCTTCTAGTTTTATCTAGAGACAGAGTTCTGCATGCGTTCTGGGTGCTTGAGGACCCAGAGTGCTGTTTCATAGCCGTCAGGTACTAGGTTTACTTATTTTTTTAATTCATTCACAAAAAGTTGCTAAAGCCCATAAAGTCTTACCAGCCCACCACGTCTTGAACAATTTTAGCACTCATTTCTTACCCCTTTTATGCTGATTAACCAACCCTCCAGTACTATTCCTGTTTAGATGGCAGTCCTTGAAAACTTTGCCACAGCCACTTCTGGGAAGTGTGTTCTGGAAGGAGGCGCCTGAGTCTGGTCTTTAAGGATGTCATTTCTCAGGGAGCTGCCCAGTTTGGGCTATCCTGTCCCTCCTTAATAAATGCCGTGCCCTTCAGATGCAGTGTCAGTTCCTCTGGTCCTCCACAATAGGACATCTACTAACCATGACTTTCCTAGTTATGGGCATGAGTTTGCACTGAGCCATCCACATGTCCTTGGAAACTTCAATGCAAATTTTCAAGGCAGGACCCAGGGTGCAGTCCTAGCCTGCCTCAGAGCACAAGGGATGCTAAACACATTCACCAGAAATACCCTCTTGCCCGCAAAACCTAACCCCTGATGCTAGTCCAAACAGGCTCCCTCTCCAAGGATACAGAGCCTTGGACTCTGATCACGCCAAGATCTAGAGTCCATCCAGCTTATGCTGTTAATAGCTGGGGCCATGCTACCAGACCATAGCTTATTAACAATGTATAGCTGCAGCCCCTGACTTAGTTCAGCTATAAACATTCCTCACCTGCATGATTAGCTCCTTTCTTACTGATTAGAAAGCGTCATCCTGCCACAAAGCCTACCCTTTCTGAATGAATGGCTCTTCTACAGGCAGCCAAGTTCTCTAAAACACATCTCAAACCCAAATAAAAAAGAATCTACAACAGAAACAAAATTCCACTATTTTCTTTATGGAATGAGAAAAAAAAGAGCTTCAGAAGGTTTTTAAAAGTTCAGCTCCATGCTTACTGAAAGGACTAAAAGTAGTTGTGACTACAACTGGGGACTTGGAGAGAGAAGGTTGGAGAATAATTCAGTGGCCAGTAGGAGATATTAATAAGTATATATTTTTTTATCTTGACGGATCTGGTGTAACCACTAAGGAGTTTTAAGCAAGTAAGTAGTATTGGGTTTTGACTTTACAGATATCACCCTGGAAGATGGATAATGGATTGGAAGGCAGATGGCAGGAAGACTAGTCAGTGGTCAAGGAGAATGACAGTAGTGGCTTCAACTAGGGTGGTAGTAATACAGATGGAGGGAGGTGGACAGATTCAGGAAATACTTAAAAACACAATGGCCAGGTGCAGTGTCTCATGCCCATAATCCCATTCCTTTGGGAGGCTAAGACAGGATTGCTTGAGCCCAGCAGTTCTAGACCAGCCCAGGCAACGTAGCAAGACCCCATCTTTAAAAAAAAAAAAAAAATCTAAAAATTAGTCAGGCATGGTAGTACCCACCTATAGTCTCAGCTACTTGGGAAGCTGAGGCAGAAGGATTGCTTGAGTCCAGAAGTTCGAGGTTGAATTGAGCTACGATTGTAGGCTATTGCATTCCAGCCTGGGCAACAGAAATGAGACCCTGCCTTTAAAAAATTGTAAATACGTAAATAAAAGTGTGATTGCTCCCTCACCTCCTTTAGGTCTCTGCTTTAATTTTACCTTCTAAATGATTCCTTTCTTGACCACCTATTTAAAACAGCAGCCCTGGCTGGGCGTGGTGGCTCACGCCCGTAATCCTGGCACTTTGGGAGGCTGAGGCAGGTGAATCACCTGAGGTGAGGGGTTTGAGACCAGCCTGGCCAACATGGCAGAACCCCACCTCTACTAAAAATACAAAAATTAGCTGGGTTTATTGGCACATGCCTGCAATCCCAGCTACTCAGGAGACTGAGGTGGGAGAATCACTTGAGCCCAGGAGGTGGAAGTTGCAGTGAGCTGAGATTGCACCACTGCACTCCAGCCTGGGTGACAGAGCGAGACTCCATCTCAAAAAATTAAATAAATAAATAAATAAATAAATAAATAAATAAATAAAACAGCAGCCCCTTCCCCACACCATATACTTTCTCTGCTTAATTTTTCTCCATGGTTTTTATTGCCATCTGACATTCTGTACAACTCAATCATTAATTTGATTATTGTTTGTCTTCCCCAACTAAAGTATGCACTCTTTGAGGGCAGAGGCTTTTATATCTTTTGTTCTCTGTGGCTCCAATACTTAGAACAATCCCTGGCACACAATAGATGGTCAATAAATATTTTTAGAATGAATGAATAGGTGAAAGATGACAGAATTGACAGGACATGATAATTGGTTGAATGGGAAGGGGTAAGAGGAAGTGGTAAAGGAGCAAAGGTAGGTTCCCCGGTTTCTAGCTAGGTTAACTGAGGGGATGGCCTGCTATTCAGTGAGATAAGGAACACCAGGCAGGATGGGGAGAAGCAGGTTTGGAGGTAAAGGGTTGGAGGTGAAGGAGGTGATAATAAACTTGAGGCACTTGTGGGCCGTGTACAGAAAGATGTAGAGGCAACAGGACTTTGGCCTGAAAGAATAGATTGTGCAGCCTTTGGAGTACTTATACATTAAAAAAAAAATTGTTGTGAACCCACTTGGTTCCAGACCCTACAACAAGCATGTTGGATACACAGATGAGTAAACAGGTTGTTACCAGAAAGGGGTCCTGATCCAGGCCCCAAGAGAGGGTTTTCAGATCTCACACAAGAAAGAATTCAGGGAGAGTCCATAAAGTAAAGTGAAAGCAAGTTTATTAAGAAAGTAAAGGAATAAAAGAATGGCTACTCCATAGGCACAGCAGCCCTGAGGGCTGCTAGTTGACCATTTTTTTGGTTATTTCTTGATTATACGCTAAACAAGGAGTAGACTATTCATGAATTTTCTTGGAAAAGGTGGGCAATTCTGGGAACTGAGGGTTCCTCCCTTTTTTATACCATATAGGGTAACTTCCTGGTGTTGCCATGGCATTTGTAAACTGTCATGGCACTGATAGGAGTGTAGCAGTGAGGATGGCCTGAGGTCACTCACATGGCCATCTTGGTTTTGGTTGGTTTTAGCCAGCTTCTTTACTGCAACCTAGTTTTTATTGTTGTTGTTGTTGTTGTTTGATACTGAGTCTCGCTCTGTCACCAGGCTGAAGTGCAGTGGCGTGATCTCTGCTCACTGCAACCTCTGCCTCCCGGGTTCAAGTGATTCTCCTGCCTCATCCTCCAAAGTATCTGAGACTACAGGCACATGCCACCAGGCCCAGCTAATTTTTGTATTTTTAGTAGAGACGGGGTTTCACCATGTTGGCCAGGATGGTCTCAATCTCCTGGCCTCGTGATCCACCCGCCTCGGCCTCCCAAAGTGCAGGGATTATAGGCATGACCCACCACACCCAGCCTACTGCAACCTCTTTTATCAGCAAGTTCTTTATGACTTGTATCATGTGCTGACCTCCTATCTCATCCTGTGACTTAGAATGCCTTAACCGTCTGGGAATGCAGCCCCCTAGGTCTCAGCCTCATTTTACCCAGCTCATATTCAAGATGAAGTTGCTCTGGCAAAGGCCTCTGACAAGGTCATGCAAATGGATGACATTACATATAAAGTCACAGTTACCACACAGTTGATAACAGCCAGTGTTACTGAGGGGGCAGTAAGTAAGCACTCTCATAGACTTTGGAAGCAACTGGAAAAGGGTGGAATCTTTCTGGAATACAATTTGACAGTGTGTATCAAAAAGTTTAGAAATTTACATATCTGTGACTCAGCAATTTTCCTTCTAGATATATAAATTTGCTAGTCATAAGCACAAGATTTGCTATTTGCCAAGAGGACAAGGGAGGGTATGACCAGCTAGTGTACTAAGCAGACACCTAGGAGCCCCATTCAATGATGCACCAGCAGGACACCCTAAGAGAGGTTATATGGGCCCCATCTAGATGCAGCTGCAGAAATGTAAGGGTCTATCTCTGGTCCCTTGCTCATGTCTAAGGCAGACTCTCACAGAAGGGCAACTGGCTCCCTGTTCTCATTATTTGTCTCTGCAAAACAAACTAATCCAAGACTTAGTAGCTTAAAACAGTTATTGTATCTCATGATACTATGGGTCAGGAATTTGAGGGGTGATCAGCTGGGTGATTCTTCTGTTCCATATGGCACCAACTAGTCACCTGATGGTACTAAGCTGATACCTGGGCCAGTTTGGAACATCCAAGATGGCTTCATTCACAAGCCTGACACCTTGGTGGGAACAGCTCTCAGGCTGTAGTCTCAGAGCCTATCCATGTGATCTCTTCAGCAGGGTAGTTGAACTTCGTGACTCAAGGCTCTTAAAAAAACCAAAACAGATGTGACCAGTCCTTTTAAATGCTAGTCCTAAAATGAGCATAGCATCACTTTGACCATACTCTAAAGGTCAAAATGTAATAGGCCAGTCATAGATCCAACCTCTCAACATGAGGAATATCAATGAATTTGCAGCCATCTGTAATCTGCCACACTGTCTGGTTCAGGATTTTCAAGGGGGCAAGGTCTGACGCATACATCCAAGTTGTTCTCCTTCTGCTCCTCTTACTGTGTGGGCCAATTTCTCTCTAGAAGTGTCTTGCAAAGTCAAAATCTCTCCACTTCCTTCTTCATAGGAAATGAGGCTTATTATAGCAAACAAAAAGGATCCCTTATGCTATCACTCTAATACCAAGGCTGTCTGGCTCCAGTGAGATGCTAAGCTGGCTCTCCCGAGAAGGCCATTTGCTGTGAAAGAGATGTAATCAGCCTGGAAACATGACTCATCCAAGGGTGTGGAGTTTCTACTGATCAGTTATCACACCGGTCACTGGCAATAACTGGCCATTCTGAAGGCAGCTCCTGCTAAGCCAGACGTGCAGACCTTGGTTATAATTCGGAATATTCTTGTGAAAGTCATTGAGACTTCCTTATTTCCCAATAGTGAAGAGACATAGCTCTTGCCAGTGTTACAGACAGTTTAAAATCTCTTAGGGCATCACGCAGTACACAAAAAGTGCCTGAGGGGTGGCCAAAAGTGAGAAGATAGCTACAAATTGGTGAGGCACCATCAAGGCAAGGAGAAGAGCGACTAGTGGCACTGGGAAACCTCGCTGAGAAAGCTGATCGGAGAGAAGGTCCCAAGAGGCTGGAAGATCCTCTCATCTCAGGCTGACATTAGGACTCCCCTTGGATTATCTTTGTATCAGTAGGGCCTCAGGAAGGTTTCTCTGAATGTGGATACCTTTCTACCTTGCAAGGCTGCCAGGTGGTTACAAAGGGCACAGGCTTTCCCATTGCTCAAAGAGAGGACAGGTGGCTCATGCCTGTAATCCCAGCACTTTGGGAGGCCAAGGCGGGCAGATCACGAGGTCAGGAGATCGAGATCATCCTGGCTAACACAGTGAAACCCCATCTCTAATAAAACTACAAAAAACTAGCCAGGCGTGGCGGCGGGCACCTGTAGTCCCAGCTACGCAGAAGGCTGAGGCAGGAGAATGGCGTGAACCCGGGAGGCAGAGCTTGCAGTGAACCGAGATCGCGCCACTGCACTCTAGCCTGGGTGACAGGGCGAGACTCTGTCTCAATTAAAAAAAAAGAGGGAAAGGACAGAAACTTCTGGAAAAGCATTTGGTGCAGCTGTAAAAAATAAAAAAAAATAAAAAAAATAAAAATAAAAATTCACCAAAAGGACAGTCTTCCCATCCCCTTAATTCCATTGCTAAGCCTCTGTTAAAAGAAAAACTTCAGCCAAATTAAATTTAAAGGAGTTTAATTGAGCAATGAATGATTCACAAATTGTGCAGCCTTCAGAATCACAGCAGATTCAGAGAGACTACAGTGATGCCTGGTGGTCAGAACAAATTTATAGACAAAGAAAGGGAAGTGACATACAGAAATCGGAAGTAAGGCATAAAAACAGCTGGGTTGGTTACAGCTGGGCATTTGCCTTTTTTGAACACATTTTGAACACTCAGCAGTATATGAGTGGTTGAAGTATGGCTGCTGGGACTGGCCAAGACTCAGCTATTGTTACAGGTGCATACTCCTAAATGAGATTTTTAATCTTGTCTACCTATCCAGTTAGGTTACAGTTCATCCACAAGGACTCAAATATAGAAGTATGGAGTCCTTCTCAGACCATGTTTAGTTTGCTTTAATACCTCATAACTGTTCATTGCAGCTCTAGGTCAGGTTGAGAGGTTGGAAACTTCCAGAATGGTGAAGTAATAACCTTCCCAAAATCCACTCCTAAGAATACCTGGCCAAAATAATAATAATAATAATAATAATAATCAACTTTTTAAAAACTCTGCAATTAACCAAAGGCTTGCAAAAAATCCAAGGAATATTTATGCAAGAAAAACTGCTGAATCTTGGTAAGAATAGCAAAATGTTGTAACATGATAACTTGCACTATTCCTGTACTCCTCACTCCCACTCTGCAGAAACCTTGAAAACAGCAGCTCTGCAATTATGGAAGCTATGAATATGAGCAGCCTTACTGCCACCGGAGGTATAACCTGGGTTTAGAGCTCCCCCAAAAGCACATCTCCTTAGATTTGTCACTATTTTACCTGTCTTTCAGCTCCCTGGAAAAGCTCCATTCACAGGATGTTATTGCAATTATTTGATCTGATTCACAACTCATTGCTTGGGATCTGGGGAGTAGAACTTATCCCTAGGGTGTTTGTCAAAAACAACCAATAGCAATGATTTAACATGTGGCTGCCTGAGGCTGCAATACCAGTTGGGGCAAATGGGAGCCTGGCAAAACATTTAAAAGGAAGATCTTGGGAAGGGGATATTCACAGGGGGCTTTGAAAAGCTCCAGCATATCACAGGGGATCTGGAAGGCCATACACATGGCAGAGCTGTGTGTGCTCAGGAAAGACCTAAGTGGAACCTAACTTCTCACCTCTGGCTGACCTTGCAAGCAGGAAGTCATACCAGAGCATTGAAAGTGTGCGCCAACACATAGCTAACAGTACCCCTTGGCTAAGGTTAGAGACTTACTAGTTCAAAGAACTTAAGAAAACCTCTGTTCAATTATTAGCTGACCACTAAGTTAACTGAGTAGGACTTCAATCATAATAGGAAATACTTATTTACAGAATTTGTCCAGGAAAGTTACTAAACAAACAGTAAAAACAACAAAACAGCAACAACAAACCCTGGATACAGAGGGTACAGGTTCAGCATCCATAATATAAAAATCTGAAATTTGAAATGTTCCAAAATTTGAAAGTTGAGCACTGACATGATGCCATGAGTGGAAAATTCCACAGCTGACCTCATATGACAGGTCTCAGTCAGAACTTTGTTTCATGCACGAAATTATTAAAAGTATTATAAACAATTACTTTCAGGCTCTGTGCATAAAGTATGTAGGGGAGCAAACATAATTTCTTTTCCTTTCTTTTTTAAGTTCTTAATTGAGACACCCTCCTGAAAACAAAAGGAAGATTAACAGAAGAAAAACAAGTAGAAGTTTAGTAATGCATGCTGTACCCATTGCAGGGAAAGCCCTCAGTTCAAAAGTATTTCCCTCTCAAGGCAGTGGTACTGGGGCCTTGCTTAAATAGTATTGTTAACAAGAGAGGGGTCCTGATCCAGACCCCAAGAGAGGATTGTTGGATCTTGGGCAAGAGAAAGTTCAGGGCGAGTCCACAGTACAAAGCAAAAGCAAGTTTATTAAGAAAGTAGAGGAATAAAAGAATGGCTACTCCATAGACAATGCAGCCACAAGGACTGCTAGTTACCCATTTTTATGGTTATTTATTGATGATATGCTAAACAAGGGGTAGATTATTCATGCCTCCCCTTTTTAGACCATATAGGGGAACTTCCTGTTGTTGCCATGGCATTTGTAAACTGTTATGACACTGGTGGGAGTGTAGCAGTGAAGACAACCAGAAGTCACTCTTCATGGCCATCTTGGTTTTGGTGGATTTTAGCCGGATTCCTTACTGCAAACTGTTTTATCAACAAGGTCTTTATGACGTGTATCTTATTCTGACCTCCTATTTCATCCCGTGACTTAGAATGCCTTAACCATCTGGAAATGCATCCCAGTAGGTCTCAGCCTCATTTTGCCCAGCCCCTATCCAAGATTGATTTGGTCTGTTTCAAATGCCTCTGACATTTCCCCCCACCCCTTCTTTTAAAAGACAACCCTAATTTCAAGGTTTGCAGAGGAATGAAGATCTATCTTCTGTAACTTCTTCAGGCAGAATAGGGGCAATGATGTTCATGCCTAACTATTAGAGTCTCTTGTATTTGGGGTAGAGAACAGCTCAGTCAGAAAGCATTGGTATGATGAGGGCCATTCATAACTTTTGAGTTCCAACAAAAGGTGATATCTGGAATATTAATAAGTGTTCAATTTAAGAAAACATTGAGTAACCTCATCCTCATTCCTACACAAAGAGTACAACAGCAATATATTACACAGGAGTAAGGCAAAATAAGTAAAATTATCCCAAGTAAACTAAATTAGAAGGCTTTCCATGAACTGGGCAGCTGTTGGAACCAAGCTGATATGGGGTTGCTAGATGATTTCAATATGTGCCTAGAATTAGAATATTGATCCAGATTTTTACATTACCCATGCCTCTTGTTTCTTCTGAGCAGCAGCCAGAGATCATTGGTTGGTTCACAGGAATAAGCAGGATCAGTCTTAATTGCAGGAAATAAACTGATAAACAACTAATGAGACTAGAATTTAATAACAAGTGCACCATAGTTCTTGAAACATAATTTTTCTCTCTGCAGTTTCCCATTTTTATTAAGATAAATCATGGTAAGACTGATTTGTTTTATTTTACTTGGCCTGATTATTTGTATAAAGTGCAGCAAGAATAATTATTTTTCACATAAGCTGTCTTTAAATTGCCATTGATGGAACTCTGTTCCATAAAAGGAATCTTAGATAAGACTTTTTTAGAGCTGAGCCCTGCCATGGGTTTGTACCCTCAAATACCTGTAAGTTGAATAAATTCCTCTCCTCTTGAGGTTTCAAGATAACTTAGCTCTCCAGGCCTGATAGAAAGTGACATTCTTTACTTACGACATGTCAGGAACCCTGTACAGGGACTGTGTAGACAAGTTATGAAGCCAGTTTTCCCAAGGGACTTTTATTGGCCCTGTAAGTCAAATTTAATTCCTTAAAGGAAAACACACCATTCCAGTCAAAGCCTTGGTAAAATAACTAGTTTTTCCAATTGTGTCCTGTTACAAAAGAAAACAGATTCTTATTGCAAATAACTTATGCAAATAACTATATTGCCATAAATTAAGATTATTCACATGTAGTTTCCAAATTCTGGAGAAACAAGGTAGAGAGAAACAAATATGCTCCAAATTGGGTTCATAGGAGTATACTTTACCTAATTGATAAAAGCCATAAATAGCTTAAAATTTGTTTTCTTGACTTTGAAAAACAAAACAAGGCATCAGCAACGTTTTAAGCAAAAAGTTAAAAAGATTACTTTAGACTTCTTTTAGTTTACTCCATGCAGTTAATTTCTCTTCTGTTTGATATTCATGAACATTTCAGTTCTCCATGAGAGTTCTGAAAGTTGTTTCTTCTATTCTAATGTCACAATTTCCAAAGTTATCAGAAACCTGCATTTAAGAACACCTGTTAGAGTTCTATAGCTGACTATAAACCACCTTTTGAAGAGGATTAAAACAAGACAACAATTGTTTGTGGATGACAAAGTGTTTTGGGACAACAACAGCCAAAAACATGATTGAAAAAGAAGTTTGGTTACCTCTGTGGCATACAATGATTTTATGTAACAATTATAATTATTAATAACCTACAATAAGTTTTATTATATTTGTCAGTGCTTCTTGTATGATTTTACTATACCAAGCAAGGCAAATTTTACCTTTGCATTAGTGTACTGTTAAACCCAATTCTTAATAAAACCTTATACATAAATCTGTCCAATCTTAATCCATTTGACCATAAGATAAGATTTTCATAAATCTTGTATAACCCTTTACAAATTTTTATTAAGAGCAGATTATAAGCAGATTTTTGCTTTAAGAAAAACTTGTTGTTCTTTTATTCCACTGTTCAATTTATGGAAAAACTGAATGATACCCCTTTAACTTCAGCCAATATGTTCACACACAGAATCTCTTTTACAACTAATTTTTCACAAACCTTCCACAACTTGCTTAAATCTTCAGCTTTACCTTATCTAACTTAAAACAATCCTTTAACACTTTAGGCATAAAAAATCCACATTCCTATGACTTCTTATAATCTTTTACCAAAAACACATTTCACTTTCTTTACACACCTTGCACATAAAACTGTTTTTTAGTCTCAAATACATGTTACACTGTTAACTCTTAGCAACTCTTACTTCTGGTGAAAAGCCTGGTTAGTAAGCCATTTTAATTATGTACTAGTGTGGAGCCTAGGACCCAGACAGAAGTGCAGATAAGTCCTTACTCTTTTCAACATCTAACTTCACATGTCCCAAGCCTTACCTAGCTGTAAAGCAGGCAAGTTGTACAGTTAAGCATCACAGTAGTATTCTATGAAGCATTTAGGAGGCCTAATCACCTTTAAATTTTACATTTCTTGCATAAATTCCCTGTTATGGGAATTTCGTGACCTACACAGACTATCTACGACATACTTTGACTTTGTGACTTATCCTAAACATCCCTTTTTTTAAACAACCAGTTATTTCAGTTTAGGACAAGAATTTACCATATAAGATCCTTTCTTATATGAAGTCTCTTTTCTTTATAAACTTCTTTGCATAGCTATGGGGTATGGCTAATTCCACATGTCTCCAGGCCTTATCTAGAATCTAGTGCTTCAAAGTAGGTAGACTGAACAATTTTTAAAAGTCAAAGAAGCAGTTTATGACCTTAAAGCATTTAGTAAACTTAATATCTGACCTGCATAATTTAGACCAGATGTTTACATTTTGGAGGATATTTTTATTTTACCAATAATTTAAAAAACCATCTCTATTTTCCAAAGAGTATTAAAGTCACATGAAGTAAAAGGCATTACACTTTCTACTTTTTTGACAAAATATTTGATTTAAGCACTTATTTTTAAGCCAATTAATCAAAGCTCTTTCATATATAAATGTCACACACACAACACATATAAATACACAGACAGACAGAAGATAAAAGACTCATTCTCTAAGCCAGGAATTGGACCCTGAACCCAGGCCACCATTGTGAAAGGAGAAAGCACAGCCACATGGTTACAAGGTCAAGCTCCCAAGGACATACTAGACAAGAAGGAAACCTCATCCAGTTTTTTTCAGGGACCTGCAGCAAAGTTTGTAGCTGACCAGTTTGTTGGGCCATTTTGAAAAGCCCTATCCTAAGGTACCCCTCTTTATGACAGAACTATCCTAAGGTACCCCTCTTTATGACAGAACAATACAGAAAAACACACAAAGCGCACCAGATTCACTACAGCTTAACACTAGTCTCTCAAATCCTTTTTCCATTAATCATAACTTTACAGAGGAGATAAATGTGATTTTTACCATTAATTCAACTGGTTAGCATAGAAAGAGAGAGAGAAAGAGAAAGAAAGCATTGCCTGAGGCAGGGTGGGGAAGGCGAAGAGCTCAGGGAGACCAGAGAAAGATCCACCCATTGCTCAAATGTTCAGGCAGCTGCTTGTTGGTCATGAAGGGATCTTTTCCAGCAGTTTCATCAGCTCTTAGGTTTTCCCTTTTAGGGAGGAAGACACTCCCCATGTCCCATGATCCTGTACATGCCTAATCCTGTCACCCACAGCCATCAGCAATGAGTGCAAGGTAGATTAATCCAAAGAGAACAGCAGTTAGCATCCCATAGTGCCAAACCCATCCTTAGCCAAAAGAGACTTTACCAAGAGGGGCCTCTAACCCACTTTGTCTTAGGAGAGACTCTAACTCCCCAAAGTTGAGCCTCTAACCCAATCCCATTCTTTACCCAGGTATATGCACCCCACTTACGCAAAGTCAGCCAAAATTGGTGCGAGCAGATGATTTTTAGTTGGGATTAGGGGTCTCTTCAGTATCATCCTTCATGGTTGCCAGAAAGATGTTACAGGAAAGTGGTCCTGATGCAGACCTCAAGAGGGGGTTCCTGGATCTTGGGCAAGAAAAAATTCAGGGCGAGTCCACAGTGCAAAGCAAAAACAAGTTTGTTAAGAAAGTAGAGGAATAAAGGAATGGCTACTCCATAGATGGAGCAGCCACAAGGGCTGCTGGTTATCTATTTTTATGGTTATTTCTTGATGATATGTTAAACAAGGCTTGATTATTCATGCCTCCCCTTTTTAGACCATATAGGGGAACTTCCTGTCATTGCCATGGAATTTGTAAACTGTCATGGCACTGTTGAGAGTGTAGCAGTAAGAATGACCAAAGGTCACTCTTCATGGCTGTCTTGGTTTTAGTAGGTTTTAGTCGGCTTCTTTACTGCAACCTATTTTATCAACAAGGTCTTTATGACCTGTATCTTGTGCTGAACTTCTGTTTCATCTTGTGACTTAGAATGACTTAATCATCTAGGAATGCAGCCCAGTAGGTCCCAGCCTCATTTTACCCTGCCCTTATTCAAGATGGAGTTGCTCAGGTTCAATGCCTCTGACAGTATTTTCACAAAGACCCATAAATCTTATATAGTAACAAGACAAAGAAGGCTTCCAAAAGGCAGGAAAATGTGGAAAGGTAAATTTATGAGAAGAGTAAAGTCTGCTCTAGATGATCTAGCAGCACTGTTTCCGACTTCTGTTTCTCAGTTTATAAGCAAGCATTATAAAGGGGCCCATCTTTAGGTGGGAAAGGCAGAGAGCAGGGTCAGAGTGTGCCCCTGTGTTTAAACCTTTTATAAGACTTAACTAAAATCCCCAGTACTTTAGAGAGGAATATTTTTGTTTCCTTCAGCTGTATATGAAACACAAATGAATTTAATATTTAGACTTGGGTCCCATCCCCAATATATCTCATTGTATATATGCAAATAATCCAAAATAAATCCAAAATCCAAAACACCTTTGTTCTTAAGCATTTTGAATAAGGGTTATGTGACTTGGTCTGATTTCCAGAGTTACTACATTACATTATTTTAAATGTCCAGTTTTGAATTACTAGGTAAGGGGTTTCTTTTTGGGTTGATGAAAGTGTGCTGGAATTAGTGGTGATGCTTCCAGAACCTTGTGAATGTGCTAAAATCCACTGAATTATATGAACATTTTAAAAGGGTCAATATTATAAGACATATTTCAATTAAAAAATTTTAAAGAAAAAAAGTCCAGTTTTTAACAAAAAAACTTATGAGATGCACAGAGAAATCAGAAAAAGACGTACACAGGAAAAGATGAGTCAATAGAAATTGAGGAAATCCAGATACTGGACTCATTATACAGATACTTTTAATCATCCAATATGAATATTTTCAAAGAATTAAAGGAAATCATGTCTAAAGAGTTAAAGGACTGCATAATAATAGTATCTACTCAGCAAAAACCTTATAAGCCAGAAGAGACTTGGGGCCTATTTTCAGCATTCTCAAAGAAAAGAAATTCCAAACAAGAATTTCATATCCCACCAAACTAATCTTCATAAGCAAAGGAGAAATAAAATCTTTTCCAGACACAAAAATGCTAAGGGACTTCTTTACCACTATACTAGCCTTACAAGAGATCCTGAAGGGAGTTATATACATTGAAACCACCTGGCCAACATGGTGAAACCCCATCTCTACTAAAAATACAAATATTAGCCAGGTGTAGTGGTACACGCCTGTAATCCCAGCTACTTGGGAGGCTGAGGCAGGAGAATTGCTTGAACCCAGGAGGTGGACGTTGCAGTGAGTCAACATTGCACCACTGCACTCCGGCCTGGGTGACAGAGTGAGACTCCATCTCAAAAAATAAAAAAAAATAAAATAAATAAAATAAACCAAAGAACGATACCTACTGCCAGAAATACATACTTAAGTACATAGACTACAGACCCAATGGAGCAAAAACACAATAGAAATTACAAAGCAAAAAGCTAACAACTTCACTATAGGATCAAAACCTCACACATAAATATTAGCCTTGAATGTAAAAGGCATAGAGTCGCAAGTTGGATTAAAAAAACAAGACCCTTCCTTCCATGTGCTGTGTTTAAGAGACCCATCTCACACATAATGGTGCCCAACGGCTCAAAGTAAAGGATTGAGGAAAGATCTGCCATGCAAATGGAAAACAAAACAAAACAAAAAGCAGGGGGTCACTCTTCTTATAACAGATAAAACAGAGTTAAAACCAACAACAGAAATAAAGGACAAAGAAGGGCATTACATAATGATAATCCAATTCAACAAGAAGAGTTCATTATTCTAAATATATATGCACCCAACATTGAAGCACCCAGATTATTGAAACAAGTATTTCTAGATCTACAAAAAGATTTTAGACTGCCACACAATAATAGCGGGGGGCTTCAACAACCCACTAACAGCATTAGACAGGTCATCGAGGCAAAAAACTAACACAGAAATCCTGGACTTAAACTCAACACGTCACCAATTGGACCTATTAGATATATGCAGAATACTCTACTCATCAACCACAGAATATACATTTTTCTCATCTATATATGGAACATACTCCAAGATTGATCAGATGCTCATTCATAAAGCAAGTATCAATAAATTTTTAAAACTCGAAATTATACCAACCATACTCTCAGACTACAGTGGAATAAAAATAGAAATCAATACCAAGAAGACTCTTCAAAACCACATAATTACATGGAAATTTAATGACTTGCTCCTGAATGACTTTTGGGTAAACAACAAAATCAAGACAGAAATAAAATTATTTGAAATAAATGAAAACAGAGATGCGACATATCAAAATCTCTGGTATGCAGCAAAAGCGGTGTTAAGAGAAAAGTTTATAACACTGAATGTCTACCTCAAAAAGTTATAAAGATCTCAAATTAGCAATCTAACATCACACCCAGAGGAACTAGAAAAATAAGAGCAAATGAACCTCAGATCTAGCAGAAGAAAAGAAATAACTAAAATCAGAGCATAACTGAAAAAAATTGAGTCCCAAAAATCCATACAAAGAATCAACAAAACCAAAAGTTGATTATTTGAAAGGATGAACAAGATTAATAATCTGCTAGCTAGGTTAACAGAAAAGATCCAAATAAGCACAATCAGAAATGACAAAGATGACATTATAACTGATTCCACAGAGATACAAAAGTTCCTAAGAGACTATTATGAACACCTCTACACACACAGACTAGAAAATCTGAAGGAAATGGATAAATTCCTGGAAACACACAATCTCCTAAAACTGAATCAGGAAGAAATTGAAATACTGAGCAGACCCATATCGAGTTCTGAAATTGAATCAGCAATTTAAAAACTACCAACCAAAAAATGTCCCAGACTGGGTGGATTCATAGGCAAATTCTACCAGACATACAAACAAGAGCTGGTACCAATTCTGCTGACACTGTTTTAAAAAATCAAGGAGGAGAGACTCCTCCCTAACTCATTCTGTGAAGCCAGCATCAGTTTTGATAACAAAACCTGGCAAAGACACAACATAAAAGGAAAACTACAGGCCAAGATCCTTGATGAATATAGATGCAAAAATCCTCAAATGCCAATCATTAAATGCAAATCAATAAATGTGATTCACCACATAGACAGAATTAAAAACAAAAACCATATGATCATCTCAATAAATACAGAAAAAACTTTCAATAAAATCCAACATCCATTCATAATAAAAATCCTCAACAAACTAGGCATCAAAGGAACATATCTATGACAAACCTACAGCAAACATCATACTGAATGGGCAAAAGCTAAAACCATTTCTCTTGAGAAGGGGAACAAGACAAGGATACCTACTCTCACTACTCCTGTTCAAGATAGTACTAGAAGTCCAAGCCACAGCAATCAAGCAAGAGAAAGAAATAAAAGGCATCCAAATAGGAAAAGTTAAACTATCTCTCTTCGTGGATGATAGGATTCTATACCTTGAAAACCCTAAACACTCCACCGAAAGGCTCCTGGAACTAATACATGACTTCAGCAAAGTTTCAGGCTACAAAATCAGTGTACAAAATCAAATACGTAATTTCTACACACCAACAATAATATTCAAGCTGAGAGCCAAATCAGAACACAATTCCATTTATAATAGCCACACCAAAAACAAAACACCAACAAAAAAATCCTAGGAATACATATAACCGAGAAGATGAAAGATCTCTACAAGGAGGACTACAAAACACTGCAAAAAAGAAATCATAGATGGCACAAACAAATGGGTAAATACTCCATGCTCATGGATTAGAAGAATCTATGTTATTTAAATGGCCATACTTTCCAAAGCAATCTACAGACTCAGTGCTATTCCTATCAAACTGCCAACTTCATTTTTCACAGATTTAGAAAAAACTATTCTAAAATTCGTATGGAACCATAAAAGAGCCCAAGTAGCCAAAACAATCCAAAGCAAAAAGAACAAAGCCAGAAGCATCACATTACCCAACTTCAAATCATACTATAAGGCTACGGTCATGAAAACTACATGATACTGGCTCAAAACCAAACACATACACCAATGAAACAGAATAGAGAACCCAGAAATAAAGCTACACACCTGCGGCCATCTAATCTTCTACAAAGTTGGCAAAAATAAGCAATGGGGAAAAGACTTTCTATTCAATAAATCTTGCTGGGATAACTTGATAGCCATATGTAGAGAAATGAAACTGGACCCCCATATTTCACCTTATAAAAAAATAACCCAAGAGGCATTAAAGTAAATGTAAGACCCCAAACTTTAAGAATCTTAGAAGAAAACCTAGGAAACACCATTTTGGACATGGACTCTGGGAAATAATGTATGACTAAGTCTTCAAAAGCAATTCCAATAAAAACAAAAAGTGACAAGTGTGACCTAATTAAAGAGTTTCTTCATAGAAAAAGAAACTATCAACAGAGTGAACAGACAACCCACAGAATGAGAGAAAATATTTGCAAACTATGCATCCAACAAAGGTCTAATTTCCAGAATTTATAAGGAACTTAAATAATTGAACGAACAAACAAAAAACATTGAAAAGTGGGCAAAAGACATGAACAGACACTTCTCAAAAGGAGACATACAAACAATATATGAAAAAATGTTCAACATCACTAATCATCAGAGAGGTGCAAATCAAAAGCACAATGAGTTTTAATAAAAGGAAGAACTTTACCTAGGAAGACTAGCCCACAATAGAATAAGTCACATTTTAAAGTGGTGTGCTGCTTTTCACTTAAATACTTCAATCCAAGATAGAGGGCCATTTATCACAATGTTGAATGTGATTTTCTTCTCTACTGGGTAGGGGGTTTTTTAGAAGACCTCTTGTATTAGTCAGGATTCTCTAAAGGGACAGAACTAATAGGATATAGGTGTATATATGAAGGGGAATTTATTAAGGTGTATTGACTCATACAATCACAAGGTGTAAGTCCCACAATAGGCCATTTGCAAGCTGAGCAGGGAAGGGAGTCCATCCCAAAACCTCAGATGTCAGGAAGCCGACAGTGCAGCCTTCAGACCATGGCCAAAGGCCCAAGAACCCCTGACAAACCACTGGTGTAAGTCCAAGAGTCCAAAAACTGAAGAATTTGGAGTCTAATGTTCATGGGAAGGAAGTATTCAGCACGGGAGAAAGATGTAGGCTGGAAGACTCAGCAAATCAAGTCCTCCCACATCCTTCTGCCTGCTTTATTCTAGCCTCCCTGGCAGCTGATTAGATGGTGCCCACCCAGACTGAGGGTGGGTCTGCCTCTCCCATCCACTGACTCAAATGTTAATCTCCTTTTGTAACACCCTCACAGACACAACCAGGAACAATACCTTGCATCCTTCAATCCAGTCAAGTTGACACTCAATCTTAACCATCACAACTCTGTTTTCAAGTTGACTTATAACTTGACATCCACCACCACCACCATTTTTTTTACAGAAAAAATATGAAGTAGTATGGAATTATGATATATACACATTAAAAAGATAAAAATTTTAAAAAACAGAGATCAGAAACCACATGGAAGACTTAGGAGAGTAGCAACAATTAAAATTAAAAATTTGAGCTTATGGAAGTTCAAAGAAGAAAATTCAACTCCCAACCATTGGAGATGTTGATTTAGTACATCTGGAGTGGAACCGGGTAATATATTCTTTTTTTAAGCCTGTTATCTAATTCTGGTTAGAGATCGACTGTCTCAGACTGTCTCTCCCAGCCCTTGGTCATCTCCTCCATGATTTTGTCAGGGGCTAAACGTTACCCAATTTAAGGTAAGCTTAAGGGTATTCCTGTTACAGATAGAAGAAAAAAGTTCATGGGCAGCAGTTCCCAGAAGGTGGGTATGAAATGCCTAGCTCCCTTCCTAATGGAGAAAAGCAAATCTCACCATTCATTATTCACAGGGACTGCTTTGTAGTTCCATAAAGCAAAGTTGTTTTATCCTGCCTAACTTGGGAGGCATTCTCTTTGGTTCACTCTAATGGAAAATGGAAGAGAAAATGGTTTATCGACTATTCTTGCTGAGAGAAGCCTCTAAGTGACCCAAAACAAAAATCAACTAACCAATCCCAAGGCTTCCTACACATTGACTGGAAATCTACCCCCACAAGTTGACGTGGGAGGGAAACACCCAAGTTTCCAGAAAATCCCATTTATCCATAAGACCCTTCTCCTGGTTATTTCAGCCTCCCTAGGGATAGACACTAAGGTGTTACAGCTCTGGTCCATTGCACAAAGAGTTTTCCAGGGCCTGGAAGATGTTCATGGTGGCATCAACTGGCCACCTCAGTCATAAATGGTCCTGGAAATCCGACTTGGATCAGTACTGCCTTCTGATCAAAACTCAGATGATCAGATATCCAAGGTCCCTAATAACTACTGGATTCTCAGATTCCAGTGTGTGAGCATGAGACGATGAAGGCAAATGGGTAGAACCTGGCACACACACATCCCAAGCACTGTCACGAAAGGAGGATTCACACATACCAACATAAAGTCTCAGACTAAAGCCAAGAAATAGCACCTGATGTTCTTTTCAACTAAGACCCCTGCTTAATTCCAAACATATTCTTCAGGCTGGATGTCGGGCAGCTGAAGGGTGATCAGTCTTCTGCTGGAATTAAAGCCTGCTGTGATGTTAATGAAGAACCACCAGTGGGTTTGCTGGAAGGTAATTTAGATCTACATAATTATGACTTAATCCCTCACCCGGTGACATCAGAAAGGTCCTTACCCAAGTGCAAGCTGCATGATTTCATGCCACAAAGAGTACAGCTGTGTGACTCCTGTTCCCTTTTGTGAGTAGTGCTCACATCAGTCATGATAGCTTTATTAAATGGTGTAACCCGACCCAATTCTTGCACACGGAGTACTATTTCCTAATCAAAACTGCAAAATGTGGCTGAGCAACCTGTGAAAAGAAAGCTAGGTCTGCATCTTAAATAGCAGATTAACTGCTCTGCGTGGGAAATTTGCTGGGGTGGAGGGGTGGGGACAGCTGAGAACATCAGTACTTCAGGGGTGGCAGTTGGAGGTAGTGCCTCTCTAGCAGGTGGAAGTGAAGAAATCCTCACAGCTGTCTTCAGAACTCTACCTCTGGTTCTGGGGACAACTGTCATGGCAGGGACACACATTCAGCCAGTTCCCAGGGCCAACGAGAGCTCTCACTGAAGGGTTTATGCTTCTTGTCCTCCATCCTCCAAGGGAGATGAGACATGGGTGTGAGAAAGAGAAGCCCTTTAGAAAATAGCTTGGAGCCACGTCCAACACAGTGCCTGACTCAAATGCAAAGCCAGTGTTTTGTGCCATCACGTATGATAAAGATGTAAGAGTTTCTTAGGCCAGAGGCATTCAAGGAGGGATAGAGTTTATGTCAAGCTTGGGGTAAGGAGGTGGGGAAAGGGTCAAGGTTGTTTCCAGAAGGAGACGGCATTTGGGCTTCACCTAAAGGATGGTGTTATGAGCTGAACTGTGTCCTGCGCCAAAATGCGTATTTTAAGTCTTAACCCCCAGTACCTCAGAATGTGACCTTATTTGCAATTAGGGTTATTGTAGATGTAATTAGTTAAGATGAGGTCATACTGGAGTAAGGCGAGCCTCTAATCCCATAAGTGGTGTCCTTGTAAAAAGGGTGATGGGACTCAGGACATGCTACCGAAATTGTGGCACTTTGGCATTTGAGAAAACAGCAGAAGCAGGAAGGTCATTTTCACCGTCCCCCTCACCCTTTGTCCCTGAAGCAGGCCATAAAACCTAGGAAGGTCACTCTCTGACCTCCCTCGCTTCTCTCCTGGAGATGCTCATGTGACAGCTGTCCTGTCTTATACCTAGAGGGAAGGAAAGTCATACAGGGACACCAAGAAGGAGCTAGACAAACAGGCCTTCTAGCTCCCCCCAGTGTATTATCATTAGATGGTTCCCTTTGCTCCTCCCATCACACTTCTTTTTTTTTTTTTTTTTTTGAGATGGAGTTTTGCTCTTGTCGCCCAGGCTGGAGTGCAATGGAGCAATCTCAGCTCACCTCCACCTCCTGGATTCAAGTGATTCTCCTGCCTCAGTCTCCCAAGTAGCTGCGATTACAGGTGCCCGCCAAAACACCCGGCTAATTTTTGTATTTTTAGTAGATACAGGGTTTCACCATGTTGGCCAGGCTGGTCTCGAACTTCTGACCTCAGGTGACCCACCCGCTTTGGCCTCCCAAAGTGCTGGGATTACAGGCATGAGCCACTGCACCCAGCCCTCCCATAACACTTCTGCACAGGTTTTCCTGGTTCTTTGGGTCTTTATTTATTTATTTATTTATTGAGACGGAGCCTCACTCTGTCGCCCAGGCTGGAGTGCAGCGGTGCAATCTCTGCTCACTGCAAACTCCGCCTCCCAGGTTCAAGCGATTCTCCTGCCTCAGCCTCCTGAGTAGCTGGGATTACCACGCCCGGCTAATTTTTGTATTTTTAGTAGAGATGGGGTTTCACAATGTTGGTCAGGCTGGTCTCGAGCCCCTGACCTCGTGATCTGCCCGCCTCAGCCTCCCAAAGTGCTGGGATTACAGGCGTGAGCCTCTGTGCCCGGCTGGATTTTTATTTCTAAAGTCTTCCATGTCACATAAAACTTAAATAAACATATGCATTTTTCTTGCTGATATGTCTTTTGTTATAGTGGTCTCAGCCATTAACGTTGTTAATGGGTGAGGAAAATACCTTTTTCTCCCTACAGGGGGAAATTTGGAGACAGACACATACATGGGAAGATGCCGTGTGAAGTCTTGAGTTCTGCTGCCACAAGCCTAGGAACCATTAGAAGCCAGGAGAGAGGCCTAGAACAGCTCCTTCCCCAGCACCTTCCGAGGGAGCAAGGCTCTACCAACATACTGATTTTGAACTTCTCGCCTCCAGAACTGCGAGACAATATATTTCTGTTGTTTTAAGTCACCCAGCTTGTGGCACTTGGTTACAGCAGCCCTGGGAAACGAATACAGGTTTGTAGGACTGTATTTTTAGAAATGGGAAGGAGAACCTCAAGTGGATGGAGGAGCATGAGCTTCCTGGGGTAAGAATATGTTGAGAGCATTCAGCAGTTTGGTTCTACTGGAACCAAGGTCTGTAAAGGAGCATGGGAAGGTTATTGTGGCCAAGTAACAGAGGCTTTGAATGCTGAAAAAGACATCTAAATTTTGGGGCCAGGCACGGTGGCTCATGCCTGTAATCCCAGCACTTTGGAAGACCGAGGTGGGTAGATCACGAGGTCAAGAGATCGAGACCATCCTGGCCAACATGGCGAAACTCCATCTCTACTAAAAATACAAAAATTAGCTGGGCGTGGTGGCGGGCCCCTGTAGTCCCAGCTACTTGGGAGGCTGAGGCAGGAGAACTGCTTGAGCCCAGGAGGTAGAGGTTGTGGTGAGCCAAGATTGTGCCACTGCACTCCAGCCTGGCGACAGAGCAAGACTCTATCTGAAATAAAAAATAAAAATAAAAAAAAAGACATCTACATTTTTATCTAGCGGAGTTTGCTTGTTTTGTGTTAATATTTATTTCTATCTATCTTGGCCTAAAATGATTTGAGGTGGCTGACCTTAGCATGTAGATCATGGCAAAACAGATTGTGGGCCAGAAAGTGACTTGATCAGCACCTGCACAGGAAGATAATCTCGGATGCAACTCCTTGGAGAAACAGAGCCAAGCAGCAGCCTAGGTGAGAAGCTGTGGCCATCATCTGAAAACTACGCAAAGCAGGTCTGAACTAGGAAAAGGGCAGCAGGTCAGAGAAGAGGGGATAAAGACAAGAGGTGAAATGATAGGTTGACCTGGCAAATGCTTGCATGTGGGAGGAAGGGAGAGAGAGGAATTGAATGGAACGTGGTTTCAACATTTGAGCCTGGTGACTGTGAGGACAGTGGTGCCATTTGCAGATTTAGGAGGAAGCATCACGTGGGGGAGGTGGAGGAGTTTGTTTTGCACACATTGACTATGAGGTGGTGGAGGGGTCCAGCAGGCAGTTGGACTTAGGAGAAAATGCACCATTTTTCATCCAAACAAGAGAATTGAGGTTTTGAAGGCAGCTAAAAAATAATGGTTCTACTCTGCAAGAAATGAAGTGAAATGGTTAAAAAAAAAATACACATAAAAGCAAAAAACAAAATAATCCATTCAGAGGTTGTTCTCATCTAGTCAAATGTGTGTGTGTGTGTGTGTGTGTGTGCTCTTAACAAAGGAAAGGTCTGGTCAGTGGCAAAAACTACTTGAACACTGCTTTTAGCGAAGTCATCCCTCTCTTCAGAAGGATGAAGTACTCTTGTTTGTCAAGGAAGGTCCCTCTCAACTAGAAAGACAGATGCAGGAACTCCAGCCCGAGGTCCCCGCAGCCCACAGGGGTGATCTCTTGCTTTGTTCTCCTGGCTGTCTCAGGAAGCACAAGTGGAAACATTTGAGATGATGGCAGCTCTGCTTTCTTTGTAGAGTTAATTAGCTGGTGAAGACTGAGTTCTCCCACAGAGAGGAAGCTCGGGTTATCAAAGTATTATTAATTGATGCATCTGGAGAAAGACAGACGCAGCCCCATCTGGATAGAGCTTGGATGCTTTTAGCGCCAGAATGGAAGAAAGGCCTTTCCTTAAAGTACAGTAAGAAAAGCCTGGTTCAGCTAAACAGTGAGGGGTAGTAGAATCTAACTCACACTCAACCCTACTTAACACCTTCTATTCTTAAGTATTTATTAAGCCTGGTACAAGTGACAAATACCACATGTGATCTGTTGTCACCAAAACTCATTAAGACAAATAATATTGAATAAGATCACACAGGATGGCTTGCCGTGGGAACTACTTACTACTTCAGGCCGGGTGCCATGGCTCATGTCTGTAATCCCAGCGCTTTCGGTGGCTGAGGCAGGTGGGTCACCTGAGGCAAGGAGTTCAAGACCAGCCTGGCCAACATGGCGAAAACCCATCTCTACTAAAAATACAAAAAATAGCTGGGCGTGGTGGTGGGTGCCTGTAATCCCAGCTACTCAGGAAGCTGAGGCGGGAGAATCACTTCAACCCGGGAGGCAGAGGTTGCAGTGAGCCAAGATTGCACCACTGCACTCCAGCCTGGGTGACAGAGCAAGACTCCATCTCAAACAAACAAACAAATAAACAAACAAGCAAACAAACTACTTACTACTTCAGCAGTCTCCAATAAAAATAGAATACAAGCCACATATAACTTTAAACTTTCTTTTTTTTTTTTTTTTCTTTTAGAGACAGTTTTGCCTTTGTTGCCCAGGCTGGAGTGCAGTGGTGCGATCTCAGCTCACTGCAACTTCCACCTCCCAATTGGTTTCAAGCAATTCTCCTGCCTCAGCTTCCCAAGTAGCTGGGATTACAGGAGCCCACGACTACACCTGGCTGCTTTTTTGTATTTTTAGTAGGGACAGGGTTTTGCCATGTTGGCCAGGCTGGTCTCAAACTCCTGACCTCAGGTGATCCACCCACCTCTGCCTCCCAAAGTGCTGGGATTACAGGCCTGAGGCACAGCGCCCAGCCAATAATTTTAAACATTTTTGTAGCCACATTTAAAAAAGTAAAAAGAAACAAGCAAAGTTAATTTTAATAATATATATTATTTAACTCAGTGTGTCCAAAATATTACCATTTCAGCATGTAATCCATATTTTAAAATTATTGAAGTACTTTACTTTTTTTTTTTTGGTGTGAAGTCTTCAAAATCCAGCATATACTTTACACTTAAAGTGTATCTCAGTTTTTTGTTTTGTTTTGTTTTGTTTTTTGAGATGGAGTCTTGCTCTGTCACCCAGGCTGGAGTACAGTGGCGCGATCTCGGCTCACTGCAAGCTCCGCCTCCCAGGTTCTCGCTATTCTACTGCCTCAGCCTCCTGAGTAGCTGGGACTACAGGCGCCCGCCACCATGCTTGGCTAATTTTTTATATTTTTAGTAGAGACAGGATTTCACTGTGTTAGCCAGGATGGTCTTGATCTCCTGACCTCGTGATCCTCCCGCCTCGGCCTCCCGAAGTGCTGGGATTACAGGTGTGAGCCACCGCGCCTGGCCACATATCTCAGTTTTAAGTGTTTGAGGGTCCTATGTGGCTGGTGGCCCACTTATTGGGAAGCACAGCACCATCTCTTCTGAACAGAAGACTTCAGTCTTTGCTATTTATACAAACCCATTATCTAGTTATGGCATCACACCTCATTTTCACAATGGATGATCTTTCTTCTGATTGAAAAAAAACTTTAGACAAGATACATTTAACAGAATTGGTTTGAGCAAAGAACAATTCATGAACTGGGCAACAGTCCAAAGCAGGAAAGGTTCAGAGAGCTCTGTAGCTGTAGGAGCATGAGCAGTGAGCTTTTATAGGCTGGCATGGAAGTAACACAAAGAAAATCTATTTCATTGCTTACAGTAGAAAGATCTTAGTTGGAGGTTTATTGGCAGTTTCTGGTTGGTGAAGTTTTTAGTTTTGTTTTGTCGTTTACATCAGGCTTTGGTCTGCTTACGTAGAAAGTTAAAATGTTGGAGTCACCCCAGTCTAATGATTCCCCATTCCCAGATTTTTTTAACACTTCAAAATGTGTGACCAATTAATTTTCTAGAGATTTCTTCAAAATTATAAGGTATTTCCTCCTGTTTGAAAGCTATAGGACTCCGAGCTGTAGGTGGTGGCTCATGCCTATAATCCCAGCACTTTGGGAGGCCAAGGCAGGCGGATCACTTCAGTTCAGGAGTTTGAGACCAGCCTGGTCAATAGGGCAAAACCCAGTCTCTACTAAAAATACAAAAATTAGCCATTCATGGAGGCATGCACCTGTAGTCCTAGCTACTAGGGAGGCTGAAGCATGAGAATGGCTCGAACCAGGGAGGTGGAGGTTGCAGTAAGCTGAATTGTGCCACTGCACTCTAGCCTGGGCAACAGAGTGAGACTCCATCTCAAATAAATAAATAAATAAATAAAAGCCACAGGACTCAGTTTACAGATATTATTTTGTGCTGATGGGGTTCGGGATTTGCTACTCCAAAATATGGCTATCTTGACATATTGAATATTGTAGGCTGAAAGAATTTGAGAAAACCAAAGAAGCAGGAGGGTCACTTTCTGACTTTCTTTCACACTTCTCTTCTGAAGCATAAAACCTAGGAAGGATTTTCTGACCTTCCCCTGCAGCAGGTTATAAGACCCTTATTCAAGAGGTGCCCTCTCTACACCTGCAGGAAAGGAACATTCTTATCTTTGAGGATACAAAGACACAGAGAAGAATCTGAACAAATAGACCTTGCTAAGATCTCCCTAGTTTATTACCATCAAATCATCCCCCCTTTATCCAGTCATATTTCTCCACGACTGTCCATTCTTCACTAAACTTAGCATTAAATTATACTTAAAGTATTTCTTTGGGTTATTTTTTTTATAAAGGCTCCATGTGTGTAAAACTTACTAAATAAATTTGTATGCTTTTTCTCTTATTAATCTGTCTTTTGTTATAGGGGCTTTAGCCATGAAGCTAACAATGGATGAGGAAAAGATGTTTTTGTTCCCCTACAGTGCAAAGGCAAGCTTGAATCTCAAATTTTAATGGAAAGGAACTGGGGAGAAGGAGAACATTTACCCAGTGTTTTTACTATGTGCCACATACCATGCTAGGCACTGCATTTACACTATTGCAGGTAATTCTTACATTCAGCTGAGCAACACATAGATTAACACCATTTTTCTGTTGGGAAAACTGAGGATATAAGAGGATAAATGCCTTGCCCAAGTACATATTACCAGTAACAGCTGGTGTTACCAGTAAAGGCCGTTATTTTCAGTATTACTGGTCCTTTTTACTGTAAGCATCGTAAGGACAGAAGCCAACTCTACTGGCAGTACTTGATAGATTTTCGTATCTCTGTCATTGAACAAGTCACATGGCATGTGTTACAATGTG